AGATGAGACTTGAAATTTCTCAAGCTTTTTGCTGATGCAGGATGTATCATGTGAAGTATTTCAGCTGAGACATTTTCTAGTCTTATTGGTGAGTTGGAAACTCTTATTGGTCATCAAATGCTATATTGACTGAGCTTCAACATGGAATCTCTCATCGTCCCAAACTTTTGCAGTCTCCAGGTGAGATTTGTGCTCTTTTCTACTGAGAACATCATAGTTGGTTAATGCCATAGTGCACTTGTGCTTAAGCTGACACTTGGCCGAGAAAGTAGGATATTCTCAGTAAAAATATTCTTGCTTCCCGACAAGGATAAAGATCTCAACTTGTTTAATTATTTTCCTGTTCTGAATGTCAAAAGTTTATATTTGGCATATTGTGCATGTTCTGGCTTTTTTTAAAAACCTGATACAACTATCCACTTCATCAAATAACCAAGAAAACTGTGGAATACTTTTAGAAATTCAGACCAAATTCTTTAAAATTGTTCTATATCATTTAAAAGCACTTACAAATCAAAATGACATATTTAAAAATTTGGCCACGCAGTAGTTACAAAAAGTTCTTCACTTCCCGCAACTGACCTAGTGGTTGGGGCTAAGGTCCTTAGCTCAAATTGCCAAGGGGTCGATCCGTGACTATGACACACCAATTCCCAATTTCTAATTATTAGAAATTACAACGCGTGCTACCTAGACTGCGAAAGGGGGCCCAAGCCCCGGGGTTTAGTTGGCCAGTACTAAGCCAATGTTCCTAGCACACAAAAAAGGTTCTTCCCTGTCTTTATTTGAGTAAGGTGTCATTCAAATATTTATTTGTTATTGTCTTCAGGAAAAATATTTATTTATTATTTTATCAAGAAGAATCCTAGAAAATGAAATCAAAAAAGTGAAAACAAGAAAAGTAGCAGGCATATATAGACTGCCACATCAGATTCTACATTGCTCTTCAATTACTGCCTATATTATTTTTCCTTTATTCATATTCTCCCACATGAAATGCCTTCTTTTTATCACAAAAGCAAAGGATCCCACTCCATAGATTATCCTTTGTCCATCTCTTTCTCACATTTTGCCATTAAATTATAAGCCTGCAGCACGAATGACAAATTATAGAGGAAAAATTATCTGCTTCTCGATCATAATCATCGACATAGCAGCCGGTATACTTGGACTCAAAGCTGAAATAGCTGAACACAAGGTACTTTTTAATGAATGAGCCTTTGCCTATAATAAATTTTGCCTGTCAATGAAATGATCTTATTGGATCCTGTTGCAGGGAACCAATTTGAGTATCTTTCTCTTTGAATGCAAAGCTCCAATGCGTCAGGCTTATAAGCTTGGGCTTGCAGCAGCTGTGCTCCTTGTGCTGGCTCATGCTGTTGCTAACTTGCTCGGTGGGTGCACGTGCATCTGCTCAAGGGAGGAGTTTCAACGGGCATCAGCAGACAGGCAGATGGCTGTAGCAACATTATCTCTCTCGTGGTAATCTCAAGATTTAGAACATTATTTCTGAAATCAGTGTTTTGCTTGCTAATTTCTCTTTTGGGGAATAGAGATGTTCAGTTTATGACATATTTACATTAACATCTCTAGACAATTGCCTAAATGTTCAGGTAATGTGGGTCTGGTTAAGTAAAGGTAGGATATGTTACTTTGGCCCATGTTCGGAAAATAGTTAGATGATATATGGTTAAAAATGTTTGGACTCATGACTAAAATAGGTTTAAACTTTTTTAGTCAATTTGGTCCAACTAAATCAGCCTAGTTCATCTCCTTTTGCGATCTTTGCAAACTCAGACACTAAACATCAAGGTAATAAGATGTTATATCTTAAAATTCATAAGTTTGATAAGCCCCTTAGAATTTACCGCGTGTCAGTTGGACAAGTCGGATCTATGACAAAAAGATCCCACCCAAAAATAGACTCAGCTTGACCAACTAAGTCAACCTCTCTAACAGTCCTAGTTTGTGTCGAAAGGCGTCTTCAGGTCGGATCCCACTAGAGAGACTCCAGGCCGAGTCGAAAGGTGTCCTCATATCGAACTCCATAAGAGAGAACTAAGTCCCAAGGCAAGAGAGAAAATGTCCAGCTATCTCATCAGCATTAAATGCACAGTCAAGCCTGATGATAATCGCTCGGGTGGCGCCCATAACTCTGCCGCTCAGTCGCCTTCACATTAAATGCAAGGCCATATGTCATTATGTTGACATATTAGTATAGTTAAGGGGCTTATTTGTAAGATGTTTTTGTAGGGCCTTTATAAGCTCATATTATCTCATCTATGGAATTAGGGTTTCATATATTTTCTACTTGGTATCAGAGCCTCCACCCAAACCCTAGCCGCCGCCCCCCCAACCTGCCAAACCCTAACCCTATGATTTGTAGCTTGGATACCCTCAACATCTCAGTCATAGAATTGATGAGAGAAGCTTGTTCGATTCCCTCGATATTTCAGTCCTAGAACTGATGAGAGGAAGAGTGTATATCTCACGGTGTTGAGATATATCATTATCGATTCTTGTTTCCTTTGAGAAACAAGAATTCAGTTGAAATCTTACTCTTGTTATGCAGCAGAAGTGCTGCCGAAATATTTCACTGACATGTGCTTGATCTAGAGCCTGATCGATGGAGGAGATCATCAAGAAGTTGAACCCCGCGGAGGTCTCAACTTTGATGCAGTTAATGAAGTTGTCGGCTGGTGAGCGCGCGACAAGACCACCGACGAAGTTGGAACTTCCACCCATCAATCTAAAGCTCGATGGACCAGCTACTTACCCGAGCTGGTCATGACGGGTAAGATACACCCTTGCGGGAAGGAACTTGGAGGGATATTTGACATGAGAGAAGACAGAGTCGGCTGAGGGCTCGGTAGGGAGAGATGAGTAAAAGTCTACTCATATGTTGGTGTACATCTGGCTCCTCAACTCATTGGTCCAGTCGATCGCCGCCACAGTGGATGGCATTGAGAAGGTGAAGGATGTCTGGGAGAAGTTGAGGAGGACCTATGATGGAGTAGGGAATAACCTGAGGGTGTTCCAGATCAAGGGAGAGATCGACGCCACAGTCCAGGGAGAAAAGACTGTACAGGAGTATACTACAGAGTTAGAGCGCTTGTGGCTAGGTTATGATCACTTCTCACCTTGGGCGAGCTGTAAGGACCCAGAGTGTAAAGAGCGAGAGGCCTTTTTACAGGAGAGGACTATGGTGTTTCTTAAGGGGCTGACATCGGAATTTGCTCAGAGAATTGCGTTGCTGCTAGCTCAGCTAAAAATTCTCACACTTGAGGAGGCAGTCTCAACCATGATCCAGAAGGAGACTCGCATTAAACTGCAGGCGGGGACAAGTGGACTTCCTATGGTAAAGTCAGCACTGGCGGCCTCCAACTCTGGCAACACTGGACCTAAGGGGGAGACTCGGCAGTGCTACAACTGTGATGAAGTGGGTCATCTAAGGCATGCTTGTACCAAGCTACCCAAGGAAGGAGATTCGGGTGGACGTGGACAGTTCGGAGGTCATGGTCGTGGGGGTCGACGAGGTGGAAGAGGAGCAGGCAACCGGGCGAATCTGATGGTCGCAGAGGGAGAGGAAGCAGCTGAGGTGGTCTTTACTGATGAGGATCATGCTCTCCTGGAGATACTCAGGAGGAAACAGAGAGTAGCAGGAGATGGAGACAGGAAGAGTGGGATTGAGGAGGCATCCACTTCATTCTTTGTCAGAGGCAACACTGCTACTTATGCTCATCTGACCAAAGGTACTGATGACATATATGCTCTTGCTTCTATGTCTACCGATAGATCATCAGAATGGATAGTCAACTCCGGTGCGTCTCGACATGTGACAGGTAATGCTAGTGAGTTCTCATCATATACTCACTTAGCATCGGCTGATAGTATCCAAACAGCTGATGGTACTTTTCAGCCAGTGGTTGGTAAGGGTATAGTCAATTGTACAGGTTCTGTAACTTTATCCAATGTTTTGCATGCTCCTTCCTTTCCAGTCAATCTTTTGTCCATTAGTGCTATCATACTTTAACTAAAATGCATTGTTTATTTTGACATTCCTAAGGTGATCTTCCAGGAGAAGGGGACAGGGCGGAGACTTGGGACTGGCACATGGCGTAGTGGACTGTGATACCTGGATTGTGAAGGGCTGGACTCAGTCACCCATTCGCCATCGTATTAAATGCAAGGCCATATGTCATATTGATTATTCAGATGTTGTCCATAACTCCATCGCCCTATCGCAATCACATTAAATGCGGTAAGGATGACCCCTCACGCCCGCCCAACCAACTGAGGACATATGTAAAGCAGAAATAAAACGTCAGCTCTGTTAGTTTGGTCGAATTACCAATTTGT